GTGTATTTTGTTGTTCTTCTAGGTCCTTTTTATATAGCTCTCTTGGTTCCTTTGTTTCCTGTGACTTTTTGCCTGATAGCTAGAATATGATTAATGCTCTATGGTTAATCAGATTTAGTCTGCTGCAGGAATCATTTTAGTTTATCAAGTTAACTCTAGAGGATTCTCTGAGAGAACAAGTTAAGTTTTGGAGGGGTTCCAGTGGTTCTCAACCCTGACCTACTTTATTCGGCTCAGTACTGCACCCAGAGCAGCCAAACTACGTTCCCCAGCACTCTTCAACTGCGTGGAAATTGCCTATCGTTACTCACAGCTCTCTTCACCTGAAGAGAGGGGGGCAGGAGCACAAAAAGTTGAAAACTCTAATGGATTAATATTTTTTAAAGATTTTTTAAAGATCTTTTTAAAAGTAATTTCTACCCTCAACGTGGGGCTTCAACTCAAGATCAAGAATTGCATGCTCCACTGACCAACTCAGTCAGACAGCTCTCTAATAGATTAATGTTAAGATATTCTATTAGAGGCACCTGGGTGGCTCAGTTGGTTAACATTGGACTCTTGGTTTCAGCTCAGGTTGTGATCTCAGGGTCCTGGGATTAAGCCTCTCCTGGAGCCTCGCTTCAGGCCTTCTCTCTCTCTCTCTCAATCTCTCTTCCTCTCCAAGATAAACAAATAAATCTGGGGCCCCTGGGTGGCTGAGTCAGTTGAGTGTCTGCCTTCAGCACAGGCCCTGATCCCAGAGTGCTGGAAGCAAGCCCTACACTGGGCACCCTGCTCAGCAGAGAGTCTGCTTGTCCCTCTCTCTCTCTCTTGCCTCCTCCGTGCTTGTGCTTGCTTGCTCTCCTCTCTCTCTCAAATAAATAAATAAATAAAATCTTTAATTAATAAATAAATAAATAAATAAATAAATCTTTTAAAAAGAAGATTCTAGGGGCGCCTGGGTGGCTCAGTGGGTTAAAGCCTCTGCCTCCGGCTCCCACCTGGCTCTCTGCTCAGCAGGAAGCCTGCTTCCCTTCCTCTCTCCCTGCCTGCCTCTCTGCCTACTTGTGATCTCTCTCTGTCAAATAAATAAAAATCTAAAAAAAATAAAATAAAATAAAATTTAAAAAAAGATTCTATTATAAATGAGTAGAGAGCAAATATATTTTATGATTTGAAGGGTGTGATCTGCACGTAATCCAACCCTTTATTTCAGTCATCCATACCTTCAGCAAAACAGTCATCATTGACTACAGATAATAATAAGATGAGATGGAAGCACTTGAGTGGCTCAGTTGGTTGAGCGACTGCCTTCGGCCCGTGTCATGGTCCTGGAGTCGCAGGATTGAGTCCCGCATTGGGCTCCCAGCTCCACGGGGAGTCTGCTTCTCCCTCTGACCTTCTCCTCGCTCATGCTCTCTCTCATTGTCTCTCTCTCAAATAAATAAATAAAATATTTTTAAAAATCAGATGTATTATGAATACTCCTTTTTATTGGAGGTCCAGAGAGAATGATAGAATGAAGCATCAACTTTCATGTACAGCAATATATAAATAAAAATTTCTTCTTTAAAATCTTTTATCCTTCAGAAAACTATCAGTTTATTCTCTCTGAGTAAATATTAACAGATTTTTATCATTAGCATGGGCCTCAAAACAGAATAATTATAAATCATTCAATTTCGGAATACCTTTTTTTTTCTTTTCTCTCTCTCTCTCTCTTTTTTGCTTGCTAATCACAAACCACAACGTGAATTTCTGTGAGAGCCAGGATGCCATGTCACAAAAGATCAGTCCGGCTTCAGAGACTCTTCTTATTTTCCCTGCGTGGAAGACAGATGTTTTTTGTTGAATCAGGACCATAATTTGCATCTGGTAGGACAATGGGCCATATTCTCCTCTCCTGTCTACACACAGAGCTGCATTGACAACAATAAGAGTTGCCCAGATAGAGGCAGAATTTGGCTCTGCCAGCGCAAAATTCAGCCTGATTTTAAAGAGGAAATGGTGCAGTTAACATTTAGTGAAAAGCAAACCAGCTAGTGTATCTGGAAGTTTCCTTTAAAATTTCTTGAAATTTTCCTTTGAAATTTCCAGCCCAGCGTATGAAGTAATTCCAGACTCTAATGAGCTTCAGAGGCCTCTTGGGCTGTAAATAAGAACCAAAATGATAGTCTATATTGGATCCAGGACTGACTTAGCCAGTGGATAATTTATTGTTATGCTCTATGTCCTGGTTTTCTCTCAGTGATTGATGTGTTCTCTTCTGTTTCCAGAAGTTTTTTCTAATATTCACCCTTCTTCAAAAGTGACCCTGAAAGATGAGTCAAAAGTTCCATACCTGTTTTCCATATGGGGAAGCTGAGGGCCCAGAAAAGTTAAGCAAATTTTTTACTTGTGCAACAAAGGAACTCTCGGTTCTCACGTGGTTATGGAAATAGAGTCAAAATGGAGATGAGACTTCTGCTTCCTTAGGTTATCTTTCCTATTTGTTTAAAATGAAATCCTTTACATTTCATCAGTTCCTAGGAGATTCTTTTGTGACTCATGTAATTTGGAATCCTCTCTAATTGGAACCAGGACATCTCAGTCCTTCATTATGAAGAACCTCTTCTTAAGTCTCTTCTCCCGGATACAAATACAGCCCTTTTCTGGCTGAGCAGATCATTGCTGATAGCATTCACCAATATTGTACAGAGGGCTTAAAGAGAGATTTCATTTAATTATGCAGTCTATTGTCTTTGAAACCTATACAACCCATGCACTCTGGGGGTTTTTTGTTTTATTTTGTTTTGTTTTTCTTAGTAAAACTAAGAATTTATCTTCAGAGTTTCCTTATTTACTTTTAGGTTCCAAGATCTTTTGATCCTCTGGATTGAGAAATAAAGTATATTTAACCTTGAAAAAGGAGAAAATGTAGAGAAGGAGTTATCAGTTTTGTGAATTTCAGATTTTCCCAAGGGACAAAAATGAAAAAAGGGCAATTCTATTTTCTTAAGACCACAAAATTCTTGAACTATATGACATACTTCCTTTTTTTTAGAATGAAATTTGAAGGAATCTTAGAGATTTTTTATTTTTTTTTAAAGATTGTATTTATTTGACAGAGAAAAAGGTCACAAGTAGGCAGAGAGGCAGGCAGAGAGAGACGGGGAAGCAGGATCCCTGTTGAGCAGAGAGCCCAGTGAGCTGGATCCCAAGACCCTGAGATGACGACCTGGGGCAAAGGCAGAGGCTTAACCCACTAAGCCTGCAGGTGCCCAGGAATCTTAGAGATTTTTTAGTTCAATCTTCCCATCTTACAGATGAAGAAATTAAATTCAAATGAGTTGTAGTAAATCTTAGAGCTATTTCCATGTCAATATGTATAAACTTATTCTTTTTTTAAAAATTTTTTATAAACATATAATGTATTTTTATCCCCAGGGGTACAGGTCTGTGAATTGCCAGGTTTACACACTTCACAGCACTCACCATAGCACATACCTTCCCCAATGTCCATAACCCCACCCCTTTTTCCCTCCCCGCCCCCCAGCAACCCTCAGTTTGTTTTGTGAGATTAAGAGTCACTTATGGTTTGTCTCCCTCCCGATCCAACTTATTCTTTTTAAAAACTGTGTAACTGTCTATTAGGATGTACCTTAATTTCTAGCAATTTTTCTTTGAGGAATGTTTTTTCTCTGAAGAATATTTTATTTCCAATTTTTCTCTATTAAAAATAATGGTGCAATGAATAATCTTGTATAGGTATCTTAGCTCAATGGATGAGTATTTTTATAGGATAGATAGTGAGAAATGAAGTAAAATTTGTTTAAATCTTATTTATTTATTTATTTGAGAGAGAGAGACCACCTGTGCCTGCACGCACACGCACCAGTGGAGGAAGGGGCAGAAGGAGAAGGACAAGCAGATTCTGTAACAGTGCAGAGCCCCACATAGGGCTCCATGAAGGGCTGGATCTCATGACCAGGAGATCACGACCGGAGGTGAAATCAAGAGTCTGTCACTCAATTGCCTGAGCCACCCAGGCACCCCATCAAAATTTTAATAGAAATAGCTATGAAATTGTACCCATGCATGCACATCTTTGCCAACATGGGATGTTACCAAATTTTTAATTTCAGTTTTTAAATAATTTTGGTCTGGAGAAAAAATAATTTTGGTCTTTTACATTTAACTCATTAATTTATGTGAAATGTGCTCTCATATACTATGTGAGGTTGAGGACTAACTTATTTATTTTGTCAATATTTAATGTGAGACAAGGAGCAGAGCACTAGTCATGTGAAGAGTAAGGATAGCAGCTGAAGGCAACTGCCATCCTATACAGTCCACTCAGCCAAATGAAAGTCCTGTGGCCTACCGGACCTGCCCCTTGGGGCCACTTCTGAAGGCTAGTTAGGGGCCATGTGTTGTTACAGCAGAGTTACATCACATATGCATTTGGGATTTAACTACACAGGCTTATTACTTTCTGAGGGCCCACATACTAGGGACTTCAGCCATTTAAGAGAACTATAAATACAATTTTGCCTTCAGTGATTTTTTTCCCCCTTCCATGTCAACAAAAGAACCTAGCCTGCCCGCCCCCCCAGCACCACCCAACAGATACACCCAAGATGTGTCTAGAGCATGCAGGCTTTTTGTCCCTCACACACAGCCTACGAGGCTCTTACAAAAATATTCCTTACAATCACATATATACACATATAGTACATTCCTGAAAGGATCTTGAAAACACACTTTTCTCCACTTTGTTAGGTTTGGAGTTTCGAAGTTTTCCAGCGATTTTTTTCCCCCCACCATTAGGAATTGGTACCTAGCTCTCCTAATCCATATTCAATATGCTGCTTCTCCCAAGCTTCAGAATTCTCAGTAGAGTGCTCTGGGAAGCCACTACCAGCTGATACACTGTTGGAGTCAATTTACTGTCTCTGGGTCATTGTAAGTTAAAGTCCCATGGTAGTACTGGGAGATTTGAGTCTTAAGTATAAAAATTTTCATGCCCTCACATCTATCAGCAGCCTTGCCCACAAGTGAGAGATGAAGACTATTGGCTGCCCATGGAAAAAGAAGATGTGGCTCTTTGAGGGAGAAGACCCTTCCTCTTTCCTTCAGTGGCTGAGGTATGTCATAGGTCTTCCTAATTTCTATATTGACAGGCAGGCTCAGTGATACGATTTCATATCAAGATTTGAGGGGGGTATAGCAGATGCCTTTGGTGCCCACCCACATCCTCTAGCACTCCTTGTTATTATAAAAACAGGTGGCTTCTGTGACTCTGCCTGAAGACTTACTGTGGCTGATGGAGCTCATGGGGCTTATGCACGGGGCTGGAGAGCCAAGTGCTGGGCAATGCCTTTAGGAGCAGAACTCAACCAGTAACAGATGGGAATTGTGGTACAAGACTCTAAGGGGTACTCTTTGCAGTTTCCTAGGGGGTCTCCCAGCTGCTCCAGTGATAGTGGGCTCATGCATGCATCCGCTTTATGAGGGGCCTGTTCTTCCCTGTCTCACATCCCCATTCCCCCTAGCAAGATCCCCTTCCAGGTAACCTAGTTGAACTCCAATCCTTATCTCAGAACCTGCTTCTGGGATGACCAACCTGAGACAGGAGGGGACATCACCTTTGTAGAGGGGTATGACATATACTTTTGAAAACTGATACTAGCTAACAAAGCATTTTTAGCAGCTACTATTAAGTAATAACAACTTTTAGTTCTTCACTCTGGAGATGCAAAAACTTCTGGGAAGGACATCTGTTTTTTACACAAAGCAGGGAGCTACAAAGTGGAAGGGGTGAATTTCAGGGCAGGTAATCCTATCAAACCTACCATCAAGCCTGAAGTGGGAGGATGCTGGGCTTGCTCAGAGAACTCCCCAGGGCTCAAGCACCACCAACAGTACCAGAAGCAGCAGTGGTAAATAAAGTATTATGTTGTGATTTCTCCATTTGAAAAAATATATATAAATATGACATTTTTAAAAAATGTCACTCAGGATTGCCAAATGTTGTTTGAGGGAAGGACTGTCCTTGTTCTTAGGTTTTGTCTTCTTAAGTTAAAAAATTGTTAAAATATTCATATTTATATGGAACTGATTTTGATGGAAGATACTATTTTTTTTAAGATTTTATTTATTTATTTGACAGACAGAGATTACAAGTAGGCAGAGAGGCAGTCAGAGAGAGGAGGAAGCAGACTCCCTGCTGAGCAGAGAGCCCAATGTGGGGCTCAATCCCAGGACCCTGGGATCATGACCTGAGCTGAAGCCAGAGGCTTTAACCCACTGAGCCACCCAGGCGCCCTGGAAGATACTATTTTTTGTATAATATTTTCCTTTGGTAGAATTAAAAGCTGCCAACCATTTGCCAGTGCCCCTCTTTTAGTACAGGGAGGGGGATGGTTCGTGAAAACCTAAACTCTGAGAGCCACTGATCACAAACCCAAATGGATATACCTTTTCTGTGATGCAGGGGTTTATACAAACTAGCCATATTGCGAAACCAGTGTAATGACTAGTCCCTGACATCACAGGCCAGCCCAACTAATGAATTTTGGGGTGGTAGCAGAGGTACAGATTTCTCACAGAACATTTTTCTGGAGCCAACTGGCTAATCCCTCATGCCCAATGGTTGTCCTTGCGCTTTTCACCTGTCTGCCAGGATTTCTCTGGGATGTCCCTAAGCTTTCCCCAGATAGTCCAAATGCTTTACTATCCCTGCCTCTCCCTCAGTGCCTAGACGTAAGGGAGAACAGAGACTTCACATGTTCTGAGTCAATCCCCAGTCTCCTAATACCCCCTTTAGGGGGACATCACTTTAGAAAAGAACCTGCCTCAGTAGTAAAGGCTACATTTGTTGTTGATGATACTATTTTAACTCTTTGAGGTCAGAATTTCACCCTATTGGGAGAAGTTATTACAAATTATCTGTATCACTCCATCCCTCAAAAAAATTCCTCCAGTAACAAAGTGCCATGTGTTATCTGCATAAAAATTAAATTCAAGCCCATTATTAATTTTAAATTGATAGAAACCAAAGGTATCGTTAATGAAAAATAAGGAACACAACTTTGGAGATAAGAGGAGAGTGGCTAAACCAAGGATGTTCTTACAAAAAAAGGTGGGTAATTTTTCAAAGAGATTGAGACAAGTACTAAAAATTGAGACAATTGTATGAAAAGGAAATGCCTATTTCCAGGGGCTCTGGAGAAATGAATTAAATGCGGGCAGCTTTTAAAACTGAATAGGATGGGAGTAGTAGGGAGCATCTTCCTGCCTCTATTAAAACACACAGATCCCAGCATGAAAGATCAGAGATGTTGCTCTTGAAATTCTTAGACAAATTATCTTTCTTGAGTACTCTTGTTTTCTGTAAATGGTAATTTCATAGTATATCTTCAGTCTAGGGAGAAATGTGACCCAAGGAACTTTGGGCAGGAGAATCAGGAAACCCAACTGGCATGACCATTCTAGAACAAAGATTCCAGGTGTGATAGTTTGCCAGGGCTGCTGTAACAAAACAACATAAACTGGGTGGGTTAAACAACAGAAATTTATTGTCTCATAGTTCTGGAAGCTAGAAGTCTGAAATCAAAGTGTCAGTAGGATTATTTCCTTCTGAGGCCGTGAGGGAAGGATCTATTCATGACCTCTCCCCTTGGCTTGTAGATGGCTGTGTTCCTGTTCACATGCCCTTCTCCCTGAACACATGTCTGTGGGTCTAAGTTTTTTCTTCTTATGAGGACAACAATCATATTGGATTACGACCCACCCCAATGACCTCATTTTAACTTATACTTCTGTAAAGACCTTATCTCCAAATAAGGTAACATTCTGAGGTCCTGGGTGTGAATTTTGGGGAGATACAATTCAACCCATAGCGCCAGGCGGCCTCTCTGGCTTGTTTCTCTGCAGGAGAATGTTGTTCTTAATACTCTTACCGGCTCTTTCAATCCCAGCTTTCCAATTCACTCAGCCCTTATGAAGCTGCCAAGCCTGCACCCTCTGCGCCCCACCCCCTCGTGCCTCGCCCAGCCCCTCATTCACAGGACTATAAATATAAGAACTTTCCTGACCTAAGACTGCCAGGAGGGTGGGAAATGAGTGGGGAAGTGCTGCAAGGGTGGAGTTTTCTTTAACCTTTGTCAGTTGCATGAATTCTGTAATCAGATCAACACTCAGGGTGTGGTGAACTGGGGGTCCTGACATCCTAAGGCAAACAAGCAGACTCAATGGCATTTGTTCTTTTCCAAATTCCAAGGTCTTATGTGCTCCAACCATAGATGACAAAATAGTTTCAGGAGAGCTGCAGTGTTTTGTTCTCCCTGCCAATTCATTAGCAACAGAACGGTTGCTGGGCTATAATCCAGCCAGGCTGACATCAGTTCCCCAGTAAAAGGAGGACACAACTGGAACTGGGTCTGTGCAGCCAAAAGGGATCAGGAGGGCTCAGCTGTACTGACACGCTGGCAAAAAAAAAAAGGAGAGAAAGAAAGAGAGAGGGAGTGAGGGAGAGAGAGAGAAAGAGAAAGAAAGAAAGAAAGAAAGAAAGAAAGAAAGAAAGAAAGAAAGAAAGAGAGGGAGGGAGGGAGGGAGGGAGGGAAAGGGAGGGAGGGAGAAAGAAAGAAGGAAGGAAAGGGAGGACGGGAGGGAGAGTGAGAGGGAGAGAAAGAAATGAAGAGAGAGAAAGAGAGAAAGGAAGGACAAAGCAGAGAAAGAAAGGAGGAAAGGGGAGGGGAGAGAGGAGAGGAGAGAAAGGAAGAAATTTGGGGAAGTTTACAGAGATGAAGAGGTCACCCACCTTCTTTAAGGGACTCAGACAGGAAGATAGGATGGAGGGTGTACTAGGCGTGGTCATAACACAAATTAGGATCTTGCCAGCATTGTCTTCAGTGAGTATTTAGAAAAATTAGGTTTTGCTTAACCTGCAAATAAAACCCATCAGTTTTAGAAACCTACACTAAGAGCATGTGTGTAAAAAGAAACCTATATAAGGAAGCTGAGCTGGACTGTAGTTATGGGAGGCCCCAGAACAGCCCACTTCCTTTCTTTGTGCCTTTTTTATTCATCTCTAAATGTGGGGATGGTAATACAATTGCACTCCTCTCAATTTAAAAATACTTTTCTTCCGAATCACCTGACAAAGCTTTTTTTACCCCTGTGCAGTGCCTGTATCCATGAAGAGATCTTCCAGAGCCACTTCTATCAGTCTAGCAGATCTTGCTGGAAGCTTCTAGTACTCCAGATGCTGAATGCTCTATCACTGACCCCTCGCTACCCTGCTTGTCTTAAAGTGCCAAAACTCTATGTTTTTGCTGTTTTATTAGGAGCTTCCTGAGCTTTCGTTCCACAGCATTTCTTCATTCCTACTTCTGGACTTTCCTCCCAGCTTTTACGACGTTAGAGAGTGAGCTTTGGATGCCACTTTATGGCTGGATATTATATGAGTGTGTCCACATCCTACCCTCTGTTTTCGCCACATGCAGCAGGGCAGGGAAGGAAAAATCATCATCCTCATGGCCCCGTTCCCAGCTTCGTGGAAGCAAAATGTGTCCCTGAAGGGGCAGGCACATTTCTGACTATGCAGGGGCTGGACAAGGGATCTCTCCATGTGGAAGACTAGGACACCAATGAGCTCATCATAAGAGCAAAGTCCGGAGTTAGGTGGATTGAGGACAAATTATAATACATTTAACGCCTTACTGTGCTTCAACCCCATTTTCCGACTGGATTTTCCTTGACTTAGGTATCCCAAAATGCTCTGTTCTGCTATCTCCCCATCTGTACCTTCAGATGCTATAGATCCTCTTGGATCCTCCCATTTAAACTGAACTCTTGAATACTAAATCTGACCCTGCTTCTTTAGAAATAATATTTATTCAACAGCAAGGATTGGGTGCCTCTTGTCCACCAAGCATAGTGCTTGATCAAAACAGAAAGGCTCCTCCTCTAACTGATGAGGGTTCAGGATTTGGGGTTTTTTGGGTTCTGGATTGGGACTTTGACTGTTTGAACTTAGAGTACCCACTCTGCCTTTCCAAGGAGGAACTTGGCTTCCTTGCTAATGCAGAGCATGGATACCTGCCAAGTCCCTGTGCTCAACCAGACATCCAGTCTTGACTCC